TTTTTTTAATGTATTATATTTATAAATTGTACTTATGTTGAAATTAAAAACATATATATTACAATACTATTTTTGCATTCTATGAAAATTTATGTTGCTCCATATAGACCAAATTTTTAATTAAGAAACACCCCCGCCCCCAGTCAATGGTGTCCCGCTTTACCAGTGTTAAAATCTGGTCACCTTATCCTTGGGCCTCTTTGGAATTTGTCTCTCCTGGGCTCCAACACTCTGTCCCTAGGCAACCACAAATCTGCTTTCTGATGCTATGAGTTAGTTTGCATCACTAGAGTTTCCTATAAACGGAATCATGTCATGTGTACACTTTTTGTTTAGATTCTTTCCTGCAGCACAATAATGTTAATACTTACCCATCTTTGTGTGTATCTGTTGTTCTTTTTCTTCTGAGTGGTATTCCAGTGTACAGATATACTACAATTCCCTTATCCATTCATCTGTTGATAAACAATTTAGGTTATTTCCAGGTTTGGGCTAGGATCCATCTCATGGTGAGCCTGTTGAGTTTCTAAACTTACAGTATGGTTATTTTTCCAGTTCTAGGATGCAGAGTTTGAACAGACTTACTCAGAACTGGAAGAATCCCTACAGCAGTCCCTGGCTCATGGACTCATGGCTACTCTGGTAAGAAAGACCAAACAGAAGCCACTAGAACTTTCTCAACCTTCAGAAATAGAAAATCAAAAGCAATACTACATTCATGCTGCCCTCAAAGACTTGAAAGATTCAAGGGTGCTAATTCTCACCACATCTTGTTTACTTTACCTATCTGGCCTCTGTTACAGAGTTACAGTGGATTATTATAAATTTAATTAGGTGGGGACTCCAGTTACAACTCCATACCCAATACTAGGGATCAAATTTCAACCTTGATTTGGAGGAGACAAATATACAAACTCTATCATGCTTATGGGTTCAAGGCAAGCCTGAAGCATCTTGTTTTGCTGAAAATGAAGGAAGTCCTCCCCTGAAGAATGATGGAAACATGTCACAGGGTCCTAGTAACCAACTTGAAGGGGCTCCTATTGGCCAAATTGGTACCATTTGAACGCCAAAAATAATTAAGTACAATAATGTAGGATAAACAATTGAAAAATATAGGAGTTCATGAGTCCATACCAATAATAGGAGAAAATGGAGAGAAGAGATCAGTTTCTCAGACCAAGGACTAAATGACAAATGCAGAGTTAACTATAAAATTAGAAAATCATCACCTTACCAGCATCATAGTAAAGACTGTATCAGGAAAGAATCATCATGTTCAACCCAGGGGACAGTTCTGAAAACCAGCAGGATTCTTGCACAAACATAAAATGTCTCCCTACAGACTTAATCAGTTGTAAAGGAGAAAACAAAAAGTAATTATACAGTAAAAAAATTAAGCAACACGTTGCCAGGTAATCAAAATTAATATTATCCATTAGAAACAGGGGGATGTTATGTATAATATTCTCAAGAAGGTGTAACATCCTGTACAAATTTCATACCTAGAATGCATAAGAACACAATTGACAAGGATGATACAATTATTGGAAGAAAACATCACACAAACACAAAATGAAGAAGGTGTATTTTTGGAATGGTTGGGGGAGAGGAACTATATTCTTCAAAAATGTTATCATAAAAGATAGAGTGTATAGAAATGCTCCAGATTAAAGGAAGCTAA